GCTATTCGTAGCATCTAAAATAGCACTATTTCTAGTAAATTGCTACGAATGGCTAGTGTGCTAAGTTGCGAAATTTGTTATCCATGCAATAATTATAAGGCTTTTCTTTTGTCGTGAACAATTCTAGTAATATGCACCAATACTACAGTAATTATTTGAAGTGTCGTTTTTGATTCCAAATTTAAATTTTACAAAAACGACAATTTTTAAATGACCGATATATTACTATATCATAAATCCAAGTGGTAATATTTTCAAGAGTGAAAAAAATCACATTAGAGTTCCAAAACTGAGAACGAGCCCAGTTCATGTAGATTACTAATTTGCTATTTTTGACATTTTTACTGGCTATTTCGACTATTAATAGCTAAGACGCTCTGCCCCGTACGCAATTATTGATTATGACGAATGATTATTACTTATTACGATTTTCAAATGTAATATGGAGAGAAAATCCTTAAACTCAATAATTTTTTCATATATCATAATTATTCGGTGTAGAGATGGGCGATTGCCAATACGTATTATTACTTATCATTAAGAAATAAATATTACGTAATACGTAAGTAAAAAAAAAATGTAGTACAGTTTACCCTCGTTTATATCAACCCATTTAAATTCATGTTGATAGTGATATTAACAAGGGATTAAAGTTGATATATGAGGGAATTTTAATATATAAAAATTTGTAAAAATTCATCTTATGGCTTAGGTTGGAATTAACGAGGTTGATATTAGCGAGGGTAGATTGTATTTGCAAAATAAGCCTGATTGGATTTTAAATTATACCATTTAAGTTGTATTTGTGAATCGGAATAAGTAATAATCAGTCGTAATAAACGTGATACATAAAAATACGTAAGGGTAAAAAAAATAAGTATTTATTATTTATTACCTTGCCCATCTCTACTTCGGTGGTGTTCATTTTCACCGACAATCATTTCAGTTAACCGACAATCAATTCACAGACAAGACTATTTAACAATTAATTCACCGATAAGTTCATTTCACCGAAAGCTCATTTCATAGACAAAGTAATTCTGGTCATTAGTGTTAGGGTTAGGTTAGGGTCACGGAAAAAGTGCGATTTTATTTATAGGATTTTAAATTCCTATAAATAAAATCGCACTTTTTCCGTGTTTCTGGAATAGGGTTAAAGTTAGTGTAATTTATAAAAAAAACTTGTCGGTGAAATAAACTGTCAGCGAATTAAAAATAACCTTGTCTAATTGTCGGTGAACTTCCATAATTCTTTATTTATACGTGTATTACTTATTACGCAACCAAAATTCAGCAGATCGGCCAAAATCTAGACAGGATGTTTCAGAACTGGGTCGGCATTAAGCAATAATACTAGCCAACTATATTATAGCGAAATTAGCAATTTTACTTAGTACGTGGAGCTACTGGTTTATTAGTAAAATTTGGAGGTCTATCTGCTGGATTTTGGTTGCGCGACTAGACGGGTAATACCCTGTGTTAATTAAATTGCTTTCTATAGTTAAATCAAACACAGTAAATATTGCTCTATTTAAATGAAATCTGTTTCCTTCCTTCATAAAATCGATCTATTTCGGCTCCTTTTCTTGAAAATTTTAATTAAATCCAATCATGAAATTCCTACCAATAAGTTCACTTTTCGTTTTCATGCTTTTGGCATTCAGTTTTGTTTCCGCACAACTACCACTACTACCAACGAATCTCTCCACTACATGTAATGCAGAAATTACTAAACTTTCAACATCAGAACTCAGCACTTGTGCTTCACCCTACAAGTTATTACAACAGCAAATTACCAGTATAACTGATCCAAAATCAGCCTTAGATAGTTATTGTTCCGCACCGAAATGCAGTGATAGCGCCACTTCTACTGCTGCCACTGAACTTCAAAATCAATGTGCAACAGAGCTTACAGCGAAAAATCCTCAAATCACTGTCTTAAAAGAAGCTTTGGTTTTAAATTCCCCGACAAGGGATTCTTTGTGTTTCAAGAACTCTTCCGGAGGATATTGTGGCTTGGATTCAAATACTAAAAAGATATTAGGTTACATTAGTGGATTGAGCGCTACTGCTCCCACTGATTTTAATTGTACCGATTGTAATAAAGCCATTTTAAACACTTTTATGAACTATTTTAAAGACCATTCTGATGCCAAGGCTGACTTACCAGTTGACATTACGTCTTTTCAAAATTCTGTTACATCAAAGTGTGGTGCTTCTTACTTAGGTAATTTATATATATATTATTTTAAATTTATACCGGTACAGATAAAATTATTTTTAATTATTTTTTTTTTTTTTTCTGTTCATTATATTAGATGGAAATATTCCAAGTACCACTACTACCACTAATCCCGCTAGTTCTCAAAAAAGTAGCGGTATCTCCACGCACACATCAACTTTTATTGGCTTTACAATATTTGCAAACATTATCATCGTGGCTTCATTGTTATTTAACTAACTTAAAAATTGTTCGATCTATGAATGAAATTATATAATATTCTAAAGTTTATAGATTTAATTAATAACGCGCGTTCATAATCATAATGATAATAATTGTGGCAGATCATAATGAAAATGAAACTGGGGACCTTTCTTGCTCATCTTTAAAGCTTATAAAACCCACTTATACTCTTTTATTAATAAAACTA